GTGAATTTGAAGTCAAAATGATGCTCCTAGACTGAGTTGTGAACTTTTTTTCGCAAAGGAGCTCGAATTTTCAACAAAAAACCGCGAACCTCACCCGTAAAATAGCTGTATTTGACTGACTACTAACTGCCAACTCACGAAATTCATATCGTAGATAGAGTAGAGTCGTGGCTACATTTTAGTAAAAAGAAACAGTTTTCATCCTTCTTAGATGAGGAGCTATTGATATTTTACGGAAAAGAAATAAATCATTTACATCTCACGAACCATCCAGTAAAAGAGACCCACACTTGATGGATGGTCAGCATTCGGTACGAGCTATGACCACACTAGTTCTTATGATTCTTGACTTACAGGAGTGTCGCTAAAATTGCCTATATATGGGCTACCCGTCGCCAAAGGGTTAAAGCTAAAAATAAAAGGAATTGAAACTTTGAATTAGCGCCATCTCAATACTTTCCATCTCTGCTTTCGAATATATATTTTTTTCAAAAACCGCGGTTCTTCGTGGTTTTTCAAATTTTTGACTTATTTTTCCCGGAAAACTACATTTTTTCCAATAAATCAGCCCGACATTTTTCCACCAAATATAGCAACACATGTGCACATACAGAACGACATGTTTGTGACACATGTGTTTATTCTTATATCTTATATTTAAATTTAAAATGTCCGACATTATCAATTGTCCTGAAAAACAGTGTAACGGGATCTTAGAATATCAAGCAATTAAAGATTTATTAACAAAAAATAATCAGATTGAATTATTTGAACGTTATGACTATTATTGTTTACATGTAAGCTTATATCAACAACCTGAATTTACTTGGTGTGCACACTCGTGTGGTAGTGGTCAGCTGAATAACGATGGTGAGAAATATCCAATTATGACATGTATTAAATGTGAGAAAAAGACTTGTTTTCATCATCGATTAGAATGGCACACCGGCTACACATGCAAAGAATATGATAAATTGATTGGCGAAGATGAGAAAGCGAATCAAAAATGGATAGTTGCTAATTCAAAAAAATGTCCAAATTCAAATTGTAGATATCATATTCAAAAAAATGATGGATGTGATCACATTACATGTAAATGCGGCTATGAATTTTGTTGGATATGTATGGCTAATTATAATCAGATTCGTCGTGATGGGAATCATAGACATAACAAATATTGTCGTCATTATGCAAAGAGAATACATTCATGCACAATTTGCTAGAAGATTTTGATATATTACAATATTCTCATTAAACAAATGTATGTGAACGCTTTTCTTTTAATTTTAATGAACCACTTCTGAAAGTTGCTTAGTAAAAGATTTATTAATGAACGATATTCTAGACTCGTTTTCTCTGAGAAGTGATTCCGAGTTATAATCTCTTGGCTTCTATATTACAAAGGTTATCGATTAGCAAGTACTAGTTTTTTGCTTTTACAAAACTGAGTAATGTTTGAATTTAGTTGCGTACAAATAGACATACTATCTTTCTTAGCATTACGAATAAATCAAATATTCAAATCGCTGAGACTGCCAAAAGACGGTTAAGCATACTTTTTCGTAATACTTGAATCGACTATTAACCGTCTTCAGTTGGAAGTGTAACACATATAGAAGTCCTTTTTCCCCAGTTTTGACACCTCAGTAATTTGACATTTTCTCCTCGAAGAAACAGTTTTTCAAAGTTTCGAACGTGTTTTTCGGAATCAGCTCGATGAGATGAATCTAAATGTGTAATCAAACATCAGAAAAAAAATCGCAAAAACTAAATTACATGACGAGTATAGCATATTAAGTTGTTCTACAACTAAGTTTTGTAGAGCAACAAACATTTCGATGCACGAACAATCTTTATTTCAATCCAACGCTTATAACAAAATATATTTAATAAGAGAGCCCGCCCATTTATCGGTTTTGGTCACATGGCTGAAATCGACGAAGGGATTCTTTGACGATTGCAACAAAAAACTGGAAAGATTCCCCGTAGTTCATTTTATACAGAAATATTTGCTCTACATAACTCAGTTGTTGAAAAACTTTAATATGCCATACTCTTCATACGTTCTGTTTCTGAAAAAAACTAAACATGGCGATTTTTAGCTGATGCATACCTATCTTGAAGAAAGCTTTTCCTAAATTTGTGCTAAGAGGAAAAAGTGTTCGAAATTAAATTTTACATACTATTGTCTCAAAGCTCAACTCTGAGAAATACTTCCTTCGTGAAAAACCAAGCTACTGTATACAATAGCTTTAACTAGTTGAAAATCGTGTTAGACAATCCGTTACTAGCGGAGGCGGCCGCTATAGCGCCCATTCCATGGTATGTACGTTTGTGCAGCAAACTGCAACGGCTATCAAAACTAGTATAGCAAGCTGGAGAGCCCGCTAACCTACTTCAATATTTTTACATTTTTTTATAGATAGTTGCAGCGGGTGCTACCAGCTTAATTTTTCATGCTTGGATATCCCTACCCGTAGATACATTGAAGACATATAGGAGACGCAAATCAGCCTAGCTATAGATGACGACTGTTGAACTCTTCGCGCATTTTCGAAGTACTGTCAAGTTAGATTTATAGACATTCAGAATAGTGACTTACAGGGGCGGCGGAGTGTTTTGAAATTTGGTAAGGCCCAGGCTTGACGGCCCGAAACCTGGGAGACAGCGAAGCCACCGTTCCACCCCCTCCTCCAATTTTTGTTTCTTTGGAAGATGCCCTTTGCCATGATTTCGCGGACTGCAGGCTGCCGTATGTACCCTTCAAACCAAGCGTTGAATTGCACCTGTTCTACAAAAATTTAGAACTTTCCTTCGGCTTTGCGCATGCTCTGCCTGCGAAAATTCCCGTTGCATTCTCTAAGGAATACTCAGGGTTCTTTTTTGAAAGAGCGTTACAATCGGCTGACTCTCATATAGCTCTTTGCTAATGAATTCTCATATTCATTGATCTATAAAAAAGAATTTCTTTTTGTAACTAGACTGTTACCTTTTAAGCCGTTACTTTAAAACCGGCTTAGGAAACTAATTACTTGACAGGTGGTAGTCATATTTTCTGACGGAGTTTACTACTTCGAAGTTCGAGCTTTTAAGAAAGCATAGCCGTATATTCTACACATGTAAGTCAGTTACTTACAAAGCAATAGAAAAAAAACTAGTCGAAGAAGAAGAATTAGAAAAAAATACAGTTTCATCTAATGTTGTTGCTTAATTGAGTCACATTCATTATAGACCTCAAACAGATAAGTAAAATAATTTCAAATGCATCAGTTATACGATATAATAAGGTTCAACTATTTTGTGCTAAGAGGAAAAGGTGTTCGAAGTGTCTAAGGATTCGATACAAGTTCAATGTACAGTATTTGTCGGTCACTTATCTTGACTCTCCGTGTAAGATTGTTTTTCAAGCTGGAGAGTATATACTGTGGGAACTGATAGAATTCAGTTGCGTGCAAAAGTATAATCAATCTCAAATGTCTTGGACTCATATTCATTGGACAGAAAGCTGGGAAATGCACAGAAAATATTAAAAGTCTTATTTAGAACGTTCAGATCGGACAAACAGGAGAAATCAATGATGTCGCTATTGAGTATCTGAAAATAGTGACTGGTGACATATGGTCAGGGGGGACTTTTCTCATGAAGGACTGATGGTCGGAAAAATTTGATTATTTCAAACAGAATATATCATACCTTCAGCTTATAATTAAAATTTTCATCCTATGAATTTGCGTCCCACACATTAAAAATGAGATGGCGCTTATGTGCAGCCGATTGTATGAGTCATCTATTGTCAGACTCACGCTGTAAAAGTCATGGAAAAAACTAAAGAAAAACCTAATAGTCTTTATTAACCTTTTGGCAAAAGACACAAAAAGGTTTGACAAAAATCGATTTACAAAGATTTTTAGTTTTACGAAGACGAATACAAATCTCGTGTAGAGCATGTTTTGGAGTATCAAAGTATAATTTTTAGAACCTATTATTCAAAATCTGTTGCTGAAAACTCGGGGATACAACTGTTTCGTCGGCTAAAACAATAATTTTATCCTTGTCTGTAAATATTATTTACTCTTGTTTTTTTGGATTTATAACAATACCATAGAATTTCGATGGTTCATGTACATAGTTCATTAATCTGTAACGAATAGCCACGCATTGAAATTTTAATGTTGATTGTAAAACTTCTTAAAAACTCACTGGTGTATTTAGTGGAACAAACATGGAGGCTTGGCGTAAAAGAATTACAGGACCATCAACTGTCAACAGAACATCGTATACTTTTTTTATGTTTTTATTTTCAGATAATTGTGTAATATATTTTGATATTAAATTTGGACTAATTATATAGTCATCTGCGGATGCCATATTAGCCAGTTCACTATTACGTACGTTATACATTTCTGTTACAATATTGAATGTTTTTTCCCAGTGTGATTTATTAATTATATCTCGTATATATAATAAACAAATTACACATTCAGCATCTGCTTCTTTGATTAAATTTTTTTCTCGATCGTCTTCACTGGGTACTAGCATAACATAATTATAGGTTGATAAATTTAGTTTTTCCAAATCTTGTCGATGTGTTATATGACCTGAATGAAAATATAATTTTTGGCGTTTTAATTCATTGACTAAGTGGTTGGATACGTATGTTTTTGCTTCAACAGAATTTGTTAATATATGAAGTTCGCTACCATGAGAAACATAACTATCTAATTCTTTCGCTATTAACGGGGCTTTATTGTTCCAGCCACATATAATGTTTCGTTCTACTTTTGTTGCTGTAGTTGTTGATAATTGAACTGCACTAAGATTTATTACTGACGATGATATTGGGAAAGAATATTTAGCTATGCGTGCTACGTAATTAGATGATAATATGACTTTAGCATCATCTTCAGCTATAACTATTATTTGATCATCTATATTGATTACTGTATTCAATGGTGGAAGCATTTTAACTGTTCCATCGGCTAGCATCAATCCAGTTACCGAGCATTTCTCGTATGAAAATAGAGCTTCATGAAATGTTCTACCAAAAAATGCTCTCTCAAGTTTAAAATAAATTTCATCGTCTCGAAATGATAATAGACTAGATAATATAACTGCCAAACCACTTTGTCGACCTGATTGAGCCATAATACGTGCAATGATTTCATCGGCATGGACAAACATAACTTCGTCTCCACCTAAAAAGGGCCGTATTTTTTATCACGAAGTAAACATCACTTTGAATAAAACTGTATGCGTCTGTTTACTATCTGAACCCAAAAGTCGGCAAGAGAGCTAGCCCAGTGGTGTATGAACCCTCATTTGTTACTCAACACTAAAACGTTTCTTAGTTAGAAGCGCCATGAGTTCAAGTTTTGAAATCAGAAAGTTTTAGCGATTTTCCAACTGGTCTTGATCGAGGCACGCAACTGTTACAGTTAACTGCAAAACTGCCACAACTGAATTAATCCAGAATTTTTCACAAATATATTATAAAACAAAATCAAAATGCTAAAACCTTTTTTCGTCAGTTTCGACATTTTAAGAGTAACGCTTTTTGACAAAATTGTACAACAATTGCAGCTGATTTAAATGATTTAAACAGTTTTCTTGTGATATTTCGAGCTTAACTTTTCTTTTTTCTTCTACGTGTGACGTCAGATTTAAAAAAGAATGCTCGTCTTTCTCTTTCTCATGTACATAAGAGAAAGGAAAAGTCTCATGAAGCTGTATTTACTATTATCGTTGTAGGAATGAAGTTTGAGAAAGACCATTTAAGGCCGATACATCACAAGAAAACTGTTTAAATCATTTAAATCAGCTGTAGTTAACGTACAATTTTTTCGCCAGTATTACACTTCCTCTTAGTTCCCGTTGTGACAGTTATGCAGTTACAGGTATCGATAGTTTTTTTAATTTTATAACTTGTTAACTGAGAAAAAATTGTAACTGGTGCATTCTGATCTTGAACTTTTTCTTACTACTTAAATAGAGCCTGCGAAATCGCTTATTTTATCCCTAAAGCACGCTCTTATGCTGAAACTTCGAAGCAGATTATTGATCTGGAACAAGAATCTTTTGGTTGATAAAAGAAATAAGATTCTACCACTTGTGCTCTTATTGTTGCACCCCGGAGAGGGCATGTATCTGCAGATCTGAAATTCGGTTTTATCAATGCGACAGGAATACTTTTCGAATATTTACGGAAAAAAACCTGCCCGATTTG